AAAAAGATATAGGTTCCTTGCATTTTCTACTTTATTTTCCATTATAAAGCCCATTGTAAATGTAATAAAAAGAATAACTAATAAAAAAATTCAAATATTCAACAATATTCAACTCGTGACCGAACAACACTGAAAATTAGTTCATGTGCTACGTGTGCTACACGCATTCGTGAATTAATGTGTTGTTCGGTCACTCGGTGAATATTTTTCTATATTTGAATTCTTCGATTAGTCATTCTATAATTTCCAAAAGTACTTATGAATTTTCTTTTTCTTAGGAATAATCTATCGGCGTCACCTCTTTATATAATGAAATATGTAAGTTGGGTAATTATTAAAAAGCATGCGTCAACTAAAATTATTTCTTTGATACCCGTCCTATACTATCTGATCAACATACAGTCGGGATTCCTATAACCATTCATGATCCTTTTTTCTCGCCAACCTGTTTCTTTACTTAGACGAGGCAAAATTCATAGAGATTATTTTCGAGAAGAAAGAAGCAAATCTCAAATTATACTTTAATTTCACGTTAGGCTATACAAATAGTTTTCTTTTATTGAAATCTTTAAAGTTTCGTGATTACCATGATCGAGTCTATCCTATTTAACATGAAATAAAGTTTTCCATAGAAACAGTAAGGTCTTCTTTATATCGTAAGTTAGAAATTGAGGATGAGGATCGATTGGAAATTAACATATACAAAAACACAAATGACTTCATGTTTCCTACTGTTACATTTCCAGTTTTATAGAGAAACAGTACAGCAGAACCTGAATTAGAAGCATGAATCTCTATTTTGATTCAGGTTTTCGTGGCTAGTTTATCCTATCATGAAATCCTTAGATTCTTGGGTAAAGTTAGAGTTCTCTTGAAGAGGTTTTACGCACCCCATCATGGTTTTTATTTGTTGCTATAGAATACATTTGTCATAGACAAACAACAAGATTTTCATTAGGATTACAAAAGAGGGACGAAAGATACCAGAGGGACAGTCAAACTCATAGATCGAAAAACAAACTGACAACGCCATGGCCAAAAATAAAAAGACAAACAGACAAATAATAGTACAGATGATACAACATAGAAACCTAAAGACTAAGCAACACGAACCCCACCAAAAACTTGGGGTGATCGCAGGTGCTCCGGAAGGGTACGCAGATCCTGCTCCACATGTGGCACCCGTCGTGTTGCTTATGTTATTACAATTCCGGTAAATAGTCTAATTCGGTAAGTCACATTCGTGAAAAGGGAAGGGTATTGAAGTTACGACATAAGGAACATATCCGATATCATCTGTGAAACGGTTTTTCCATAACGGTCAACCAACAATGTTTGCTCGAAACTAATGATTGCCTTGTGTATCTTTTCACTTGTAAGCTATGTTTTTTTTTTGACACTGACCGTTTTAAAATTAGACTTGACTAACGACTGAATTGTCTAATTGCAAAAAAGATCTGATTCTAGGGCATCACTCCCTGTTCATTAGAAATCAGTATTCATTTTGGTGACACTAATGTCCAAGATCGCAGATGGACATTTAGTGAAAAAAAATTGTTAAAAAGCGGAAAAGAATAAAAATCCTTCTTTGGATTGTTTGTGTTTATAGCCGATTATCTCGAAAATGAACATTAATGGAACAGATCTCGTGCAGATTTTCGTTGAGGTAAGAAATCAACCGTTAAAGAAACGGGAAGCTGTTCGTAAAGTAAATGGAAAAATAGTCAACGATATCCGAAACTCATAATGTTGAGAACCGTAATTGATAACATTTCATTACTAGTAAATAATTAACATGGCTCGAAAACAATTAATAATTATAAAATCAACATCATCATAAAACTAGAAGCTCTGCAGGTGTAACACCACTAATTCAGGCCCGGTCAGAAAAATATTTCCTGTTTAAAACAAAATGGTTCGTATGCATAGGGAGTAACTTTCAAAATATGTAGAAAATTTTGATGATTTTGGTATAAAATGAAAGCTGAATAATTTGTAATCATTGTAGAATACTTTTTGACTGATAATCTCGAATAATTAAACAAACTGTATGAAATCTGAAAAGGAGGCTTTAATTTGCCTGTTTCTCATATCTGAAGTACCTGTTTTGGTACTTCCTTAGTTCAGGGAACCAGTACGCTCTTGTATGCAATTACATTTATGATGATTTTTCTCAGTCAAGGTAGTGCTTTGAAATGAAAATATTTAAACTTAAAGACAAAAAAGTTTTGAATACTTGAAATAAAGAATTTAACATAGAAAGCAACGGGACAAAAAATTACTGGAGTGCATCCTAAACCTGTGTCGCGCACCTGAATCTGCATGTATGAGCATATTCAACAATGGTCACTCTCCAACATATAGACAAGAATATAATTCATGACTAAAATTGTTTGTTTTGGCTGATCATTTTTGTTGTTTACATTTTGTCTGCTGTTTTCGCCAAAACATTCGTAAAAAAAAATAATTTAAGGACAATAACCCCTATTTTTAAATGACACTAGACCGTGTGTTGATCATTTTTGCTATCTAGAGTTCTTCCTAAGCTATTAGAGATAATATGCAAACACGCAAAAAACAGTAAAAATCGTCATTTTAGGGCAATAGTTCCTATTTTGCTATTAAAAGCTTCTCTCTATCTGTATTGTTTTCAAGATAATAAGCAAAAGCACATATTTTTACTAAAATCTTATTTAAGGACAGTTGCTCATATTAGGAACCGACTGAAAGCTTTTTTTCTAAATAGACCGTAGATAGATCTCATCATTCGATACATTTCAGCCAAGTCAGATATTCTCTATCCATCTAACGGTTAACAAGATACTAGACAATACTTGCATTTTACCCCCTTTGTTCTATTTTTAGCCTAGCGGCAATTTTTCTTGGCAGACTATCTCACCAGACACATTTTTAAAACAAGATACCCCAGGAATAATTGTGGCCAAGTTCTTTTTTGGCAACGTGAGCTCAAAATGTAGCTTTATGATATATAACCCCGGCGATGGAAGAACAAACATTTGCTTCCGCAATTTTGTAGATTTAACATTGTTGTGCTGATATTTAGTATAGTTATTAATTGTCGAAATCCGGATATGGTGTACAAATTTTTGCACCTTATCTTTGCGGTATATTATCTTTTCCGCAAGTTTATTGTTTTCTGTTTGGTATTTAATTAATAATAAAGATCCATTTTGTTACAACTTGTGATCCGTTTATTTGGCAATCGCCAATGGCAGTCAGCAGGGTTTAAGAACATCCGTTGTTCGACCTGTTAGTCAAATGCGTTTTGTTTAAATATGATTTTTTCACTTTTTTGGTCTTTTGGAAAATGTTGTTTGTGCTGTATTTATACCCCTCTACCGAGAAATTTGTTTTGCATGCTCACGTATAAATATATATATAAATAAGAAAAATAATTCTCATAATAAGTTACAAAGATGGTATACACGCATCCTGAAATATAAATATCAGTGAATATGTTGTAGATATTGACATAGATTATTTAAATTACCATGATTTCTCCCATTAGGTAGTAAATCCGTGTGTGCTTTGGGGTTACAATGGACTAAATAAAGTTACATGGGCGCAGCCATTCGTGAAGGGAACATGACATAGAGGTGAAAATAGCTGGCTATCTGTGATTGGTTGTTATATCATTTATATATTTTTCTCTTGGTAGGCATTATGAATGAAGTTTCATGCAAGCACAAATTTGTCCTCAAATGTATATGATCAAGAGCCGGAAATGTTTTTTTTTTATTTTGATCACATCATGCAAAACATTACCCGGACTATTTTTATGGCTAATATAGACCACCAGAAGCTGTATCTTATGTCTATAAAAAAACAGTGTATTTTTTAGTAGTTATTTTAACAGGGGTAGGGTCCAGAAATTATTTCCTGTGTATTCTACAGTTTTCAATGAGATTTTTTGCATATTGGTATGAAGTCAAGTAATGTTCACGTAATTAATGCGGCAAAAAATATCAGATTTCAGAAATGGTTTATTACCGTACAGGTTACAATGTACTAAATTAAAGAACCTTTGTGAGCACGCTCACATACCCCACGCCCCCACACTGTCACTGGACCAACAAAATTTCACCAGATTCCTAAGTTCAAAGACTCATAACTCTACCAAAGTCAACTGATAAAAATTTTCTTGTGGATATCCACATTAACATATTATGTCCTCATTAACTCCAAAGTTTCATGAAATTCTGTTGTGTGGTTTCAGAGGAGTTGCGATGACAAGAACAGGACTGACGGACTGACGGACAGACAGACGGACGGGTCAAAAACATTATACCCTCCGCAACTTTGTTGCGTGGGGTATAATAAAGTTACAGTCATTCGTGAAGGGAACATGTAATAGAGATGAAAACAGCTGGCTATCTGTGATGGTTGTTATATCATTTATATATTTTTCTTCAGGAAAGCATTATGAATGAAGTCTCATGCAAACACAAATTTGTCCACAAATGTATATGATCAAGGGCCGGAAATGTTTTTTTTTATTTTGATCAAAATTGGGGAACATTTTCTGCGAAATCGTAAGGTATGGTAAAAAACCCAAAAATTCACCAAGAAAAGCCATGGGACCATATATATTTAAGTGCGGTAAAATCACAAATAGATATCAATGGGGCCAACATTTAGTACTTTATATTCTTGGAGGAGCGTCTGTTTGGTATGCGGGATGTATACATGCGAATGGGGTCGTAAAATCCAATGTCTTGTGAAGGAAGAGTGTCACGCTTGAGTAGATACCGAGTTCAATTAAAATGCATTGTTTTGTCCAGTAATGATGTTATTTGTGTTCTTTTGTTTTTGTTTCAATTTTTTCACATATGACCATAGCAGTTTCGTTTTCGCAAAAATCACTGCAAGAATGTCTGGGTGTTTGGACAATAATTATCACAAGATAATTAAGAATTCAATATTTTTCTGATAAATTGATAATGATGTACAGCTCATACGATTTACGAAATACATTTCAGGCTCTTGCAGGAAAATGTGCAAATCATAGTTGTGACAAAGGGATGAAGTGTATTGTGAAGTCAAAAAGCAATGGAATCATGTGTGAGCATGCATGTAAGTACAATTTTAAGGATGTTCGCTTGTCATGTTTTGGAATTTTTGTCAGATTTTCGGAATCCTCTGGTTCTATCCATTTGAATGCCTTAATAAATTTGCCCACTAACCCCCATTTTTCTTTTTATAGATCTTTTACATGTATAATTATAAGCCATCTGTAAAAGCCTTATAAAATCTTTGTTACTTTTTAATAGTTTTTGAGAACTTAAACTTGTCAATGATAAAGGTATGAAAAATCAAGAGAGAACATTTTCCCGCCAAAATTTCAATGGCTAATATCTCGAAAACAAGCACACGGACCTATATTATTTTTCGCTCTTTTGGTTCCTTTGTTAATCTCCTATCAATATATACTAATGTTATGAAAAGCTTGTTATTTTGAAACTGAGTAGCAATCTTCCTTAATAGCAGTCTTCGAAACAATGGTTCCACTGCAGCAAAATTGATAGAGAAACCAATTTACCAAAGCTTGGATTGCCAGTAGTAAAGAATACGTTCACTGTTTCATTAATGAATGAAGATTATTGCTTACCTTTCCTTAAAAGAGGAGGTATGTCTAGTGCACGATGTAGTGAGGATATCGCCGATATTGTTCATGATTTTATACCTGCTCGCAACATTGTCTACATAGTCCCCTTTTCTGTCTACATCGTTGACATCGCCGACATCGTGATGTTGACAACATCGTGACGACATCGTCTACATCGTCCCCCTTTCCTGTCTACATCATTGACATCGCCGATATACTTACTAAATACTTACTAAACCAAACTGTCGTCCCGTGTTAAAATTAATTACGAAAACATCTCAATGGCTGGAATTTGGCGTTTACAATTATACAGCTGGGTTCTGTAATGTAACGCATTAGCATGTTTATTTCTCTCTTCATTTCCATCAAGATAACAAAAATGGTTCTTTCACATGCTATACAAAAGTTATAATTCAAATTTAAATTTTCTGTCGGAAACAGTTTATCACTTGTTTATCTCAAATATTTCAAATATGATATTCATGATTTTTGGTATTTAATGTATTTCCCTGTATTTTACTTGATTGATTGGTTGGTTGCTTAATATCCATGGTCAGTGGCAATGATTTCATTAAATTCGGGAGAACAAATGAACAAACCTAATTATAATAGAAAAACAAAGGATATGGGGTATCCATCCATGACACAAAATCAATTCATGCACAGCAAACAAAAACACACACAAAAAGCAAAGGAACAGCGCTTTTATTACTGTTCTTCATCTTAAAGTCTCGAGTACTGCAAAGCGGATCGACCGATATGAAGGTTGGAATTGGACTGCCTTTAGACGAAGATATCTTATTGGACAGTCGTAGACCAGAGTTTACAGTTTTCACGACGTGCGTTTCTAGAATAATCTTCATACAGTTCATTCGAATCTAATTTTTTTTTTGGAAGCATAAACATAACATTTTGAAGCAATCACAACTTTAAAAACTTGACAATAAAATTAACCTAGGGAAGGTGCAACTTAAAAATAAAATGGTAGAATATCGATGTGCAGTATTTGAAAGTTTTTAAATCATAATATATTATCTTAATCAAAGGGTAAGATGAGTACTACTAATAATGCGCATATAAACCTTTAGATATAGAGATTACATACGCATTATAGTCACTTATCTGGAGGCATGAACGTTGATAGCTAAATGTTACAACATCACTAATAAAGTCTACGTATTTACACATCCCTCCTTTTCAACTATTTAAGTTTGAGTGTTCCTTTTGAAGATAAATCCGGAAAAGCGGATCGCTTCGGACTCACGAAATTTATTTTATTTTCATGTATGATATCACTCAATTACAGACTGCAAAAAAGATCCTCCTAAAACACCGTATGCTGTATCCTCTGAAATGTTTGGGGTCTATGCTAGCCTAGAAGCAGGAAACCAGCATAAATGCATCAACAGTAACTACAAGTTGGTTGGAAAACCTTTTGTTATTTGTGACAAAAAATCTAAAAAGTGGAAGAAATTATTTTGCTGCGTGGAAAAACGTAAGTATGCTGTCTTATTTACGAGCCTCCTCATGGGGTTTTTGATTATGTGATTACTTGGCTGTTTTTATAGTGATTATTTGATTATCAGACTAAAAATTTCATGATTATTTGATTATTTGATAATCTAGGACTGTATTTTTGATTATTTGATTATCTTGTTTAAAAAAATAATTAATGATTATGCGATTATATTGGCAAACAAATTGTGATTATTTGATTACTTGGACACCATCATGAGGGGCCTCATTTTCTTTTACACCCCAGTTCTATTGTTGTGCTTCATAGTTTCTATTTCTGAAACAAGTGTAAATTGAATAGATCTATTGTTACGAATAACAATGGATTTAGGCCACAGGGTGTGACGAGCGGGGTTCCTGGAAACCCCTGCTTCTACATCCCGCAAACAAAGTCCATTGTTATTCGTAACAATAGAAATTGATTATTTTTTAAATAGCATGAACATAAGAAATTACTAATAGTGTTCACTACAAATTGTTTCATGATATTAAAAAAACACATTTTAGGAAATTCCGATAAGCATCTATATGGAATACAAAAATAATCCTTTAAATACTCTTTTGCTTGAAGGTATTATTTTTTATCCCAGTCATATGTCTCTATTCTAAAGCATTGATCTTTAAAAAAAAATGGGGATTCTAACTCCGGGACCCCCCCCCCCCCCCGGGTTACCCAGTGGCCGATCCGGGTTTGGGGTTCCGCGGGTTGGACCCGACTTTTATTTAAAAGATCAATGCATTTGAATGGTTGGAACCCCCGGTTGGATCATCCCCTGATTGCCCCCAAAAAGGGATTTCCTCAATATTAAATATTGTATGTTGAGCGTGTCTGGTAGTCGGGTTTCTAATGCAGACACACCTATCTATCCCTTAGTATGTTCGAATATGAATGTTTGTTTATTCTCGAGAAGAAGGGGGGGGGGGGGGGCTTTTGATTTTGATAAAATCTTAAGATATAAAATACAGTTATGATTACCTTTATCTGTTTATTAAACTGATACAGGTAAGTACTTTGAGTTATAATATTGCCTTTATCTTTAGTCTCTTCTACCAAATCCAACGCTTGCCACAAAATGTCGTCCGTCTTATACCAGTCCATATTGACAACTGTATACCAGGAGCATGATGTATTTTTTGTTTGTTATAAGAATACACGAAACAGTCAACCTTGACCTGCTGATCCATATTAGCACATGGATTTAACGGGAATATGCAAAACAACTTGACATTTGTAAAATATACTCACTTGTCAAAGTTTGAACTAAGATAACCAAAGAAAGGTTACTAGTGGGGTTTATTGTAATAAAAAAATATTCTTATAAATCATGGTTTGATATTGTCAATAAATATGCTATCGTTTTTTTTTTCCATTTAATAATCAATGTCAACAAATATAGGGTTTAGAATGGGGTGTAAGTTAGTTATACACCTCGGGATACGGCGTGTCTGGATAAGAAACCCCTCCGGCCTCCGGCCGACGGGGTTTCTTATCCAGACACACCTATCCCTCGGTGTATAACTATTACATACGCAACATCTCTTTTCGTGCGTGTAAGTTTTAAGTCAAGTATACAAACACCAATCTTGTTTGTGCGTTAAGGGAAATAACATTCATTTAATTGATTATTTCTGTTTTGATTGATTCAATGAATACAAAAGAGTGTATACATCACATTTTTCACTAAAGCCTGTAGACTACAATTGAGTCTTCAACAAGCGAGAGAGATTGTATTCGAAAGTTTTTCTACTATAAATATGTATCAATACTAGGATTTGTAAAAGAAAAACAAAATATAATGGGGTAATAACAAATCATAAGCCGAAGAATACCATACCATATCATGGTTAAAAATGAACGAATTAACTACTAGTAACTGCTAACTGGGACCAAAGTATGACCTAGACGAAACTCAACATTAACGGCATGAGGTGTTCATGTAGACAACAATAAAGTTATAAGTCTCATTTGGTGATGTCATAAACGACATTTTGAAAAATATCCGTTAACAGTCTATGGCTCTAAAGAGCTTTTACTCAATCACATGTTATATAGTTTTTCAAAAACCCACTCAAATTACATTTCTTTTTTATTGTTCTATGTTAAAAAAACGATGAAGAGTTGGTGCAAATAAAGCATCAATATTGAACTAGTTCCCATTTTGTAATCTCAGCTCTTTTTATGTTCGGTATGGGTTTTGATCATTGTGAAAGGTCTTACATAATTTTTATGATAATACCTGAAACGTACTGTAATCGTTAAAGGCTGTAACTTCAACAGTGGCTGGTTCCTGGTGAATGTTAATCCAGAATTGCCAAATTTATACTTGTATCTTTATTTTTTCTATAATATAAACTTATATTAATTCATTCATTTATTTTACAGCATACAAACCTCGTGACTGTAACGACATACCGCGTCACTGTGATTCTGGAATTTACCAGATTTATCCCGGGACTTCAGCTGGTTTCAATATCTATTGTGATAAAAAACACTATTGGTGGAATGTATGTACTGTCAAATTAGGAAATTATTTTTTCTAATTTTAATATAACTGTTTTGCCTTTCAAAATAATTGTGTATACATGTTCGCTTTAGGTTAACCCTTTATTGTTCAGGGATTTTACATATGTTCGTACCTAAAAGACGCTGTCCATATCAATTGAATACACAATTGTATATTAAGCTCATACAAAGGCTAACTTAAACTTATACGAAAGATAATTGGTAGAATATTTCAGCAAATAACTTTTAAAGAGCGTTTGTCTTTCCTTAGTCACGTAGTCTTTGTCTAAGATTCACGTGACTTGGCGAAAACCGTTACAAAATATGCAATTCAAGGGAAAATAGTGGTGAAGGGACATATTTGTTACCGAAATAGGGCATTGTATAAATGCATTATAGCAATGAACTAAGTGTATTGCCAAATTGGTATAGAGAGAGGAAATACGTGTCGTATACCTTGATTGATCGATGCTCAAAACATCCAAAAAGCCAAACTCAGAAAGCTTTGCTTTTACCACTGTTACGGAGTTCGCCAAAAAAAAAAAATCAACGGATTTTAGATAGTTTTGTTTAATTCAAATCACTGATACATGTATCTGTTAAAATTATGCTCATTTAAACTGTAAGCAGGTTCAAACCTAATCAAAAGAATGTTCGCTTAATAAGCATTCGTAGAATAGTAAAGATGCGCACCCTTTGCAGCAAAGAGCTTCGGTGCAGTTAGGTACATAAATGCATTAAAAACATTAATTCCCTTAACTTGACATTTGCGTGTCTTCTTTGAATTTAAATTTAAAGTAAAGTTACATTTGATAAAGGAAATTATTTTTTTCACCTCCGGTGATGAAGTTTGAACATGCGATCCCTTTGTTGTCATTTTATTCATCCTACCACTGCGCCCAGTGAACATAGAAAAAATAATTCGAAATTCATGTATTTTAAGTTTTTTGCTCAAGTTAAAATAAAAGAATACCATTTAGCTTTTAATCTCATAGTGTGTTTTGAGATTTATTTTAGTTGCAAATTCCGTGATTAAGAGCAAATGTAGTAAGGGATAAGCCTTTATTTCGCATATTTTTACTTTGGTAGATAAGTGTTTCCTCATTTAAGCGAAATTGTTTTCAAATTATCGTAAGCTAGCATGTACGAAACAACGTTTCGTCATTTCTTGCTATTTCAACTTCTTTTAACATTTTTTTTATGTTATTTTGGGGTTTATCATCTTCTTTTCTAGAAATTGTGTAAGAAAGGAACACGAGTTGTAAGCGCATTATGAGTTATTTTGCTGGTACATTACTAATAAATTATTTTAAATGTGTACTAGTTAAATTTATAATTTAGATAATAAAACTTACGGCAAATAGAAAAAATCTGTAGCTTACTTACTGTAAAATATTTTATTTCGATAAAATAAGAATAACAATTGTTACAGAACCTAGGGGCTTATTTAAATCAAACAGTGAATGATACGAGTATGTGGCATATTGAACCATTATGCTGGTATACACATTATAAACTTTGAGTCCTGAACCAAATTTGTACGTAAAAAGGGAAAAATAACAAATGTTTGACGCAATAAAGCAAACTACATTTGAACGTAATAAAGGTCCCAAGAGACACAATTTAACGCAAACTAGTTGTCTTAAAAGTTGAGCAATCGGACAAAGTGTCCGATAGAAATGAGAAAGGATTAATGCATTTTTTATATTTTCGGGTGATAAAAGTCATGATACATACTTGTATTTTACTCATATTAATATAGCATTATTACTATTTCATTTCTTTAACATGCATGCAGTTGGCTTTGCTTTCTTCTTTTTTGGTCGGGTTGTTGTCTCTTTGACACATTTCACGTTTCCATTCTCTATTATATTTGGTTTGATTGTAAACGTCACAGAATATTATTGTTACAGGTATTTCAGCGAAGAACAGACGGATCCGTCAATTTTTACAGGAATTGGACGGAGTATGAGGAGGGGTTTGGAGACTTACGTAACGAATTTTGGCTAGGTAACATATTTCTAACATATTTATATTCCTGTTTTTGTTGCATAATTTTTATGAATGATCAATTCAGATAGTGCAGTTAGTGTTAGTGAATATTTTTAATAGTATGTTTGAATGTCTTTTGTGTGCATTCCTTCAAGTGCCTGACGCCATTTTGTTACAGCTGCATGAGATTGTAAGTAACTTGTAAATCAGTGATTGTCTGTCATATTAGTTTTTCGTTTATTGATCAGGAATAATTCAGGCAATTAGTTTTCTCGCTTGAAAAGTTGACCTTAATTGGATTTGGTCCCTTATGGTGATATAGCTCTTCATATGTTTCGGATCTTATACATCCTTGAATTTCAATCATTTCGTTTTGAGCGTTCCTGATGAAGGTAAACCCTTGTTTCCCTAAAGTGTTATTCTAATGTTTTTAAATGTTTCCTATTTTGTTATACCGTGGCATTTTATAGCTTACAATACGGTATAGGTTTTCCTCATTGTTGAAGGCGAACAGTGACATGTAGTTTCACATCCTTTGGTTGCTAATGGATAGTCTCATTGGTAACCATACATCACTTTTTATATTGTTTGTGTATTGAAAGTTTTACTCTTTTGATGTTGCTTTCAGTAACCATATATTTCATGATGGTATGATACTAAATCCCTTACAGGAGAGATTATGCTTGATTTTCATATGATGAAGACATACTAGTAATCTTTCAATCAGTTTAATTGAGGTCTTGAGCTGGCATGTCAGTAACTGTTAGTAGTCCTTTGTTAATCTATGTTCATCATTGTCATTTTGCTAAGTTTCTTCTGTTACCTTATCTAACATCGGACTCGGACTTCTTTTAAACTGATTTTTACTGTTCGTACTGCTGTGTGTTTTTTTTTATTCCACATTGGCTAGAGTTATAGAGGAAAGGTTGAGATCTCACAAAACATGTGTAACCCCGCCGCATTTTTGCCCCTGTCCCAAGTCAGGAACCTCTGGCCTTTGTTAGTCTTGTATGTTTTTTTTTTTTTTTTTTTGGTTCATTTATTTGTTTTGGAGTTTAGTGTGACATTCAATTTCGCTGAACAAGTATACATTTTTTAGCAGAAGCCCGCCTCCGGGTGCAGGATTTTCTATATTTCGTATTGAAGACCCGTTGATGGCCTTCGGCTGTTTTCTGCTCTTTGGTCGGGTTACTTTTACCGTTTCCGTTCTCAATCTTAACTATATAGGATGAACATAGATATTGGTTTATTCTACAGACATGTGTTCATTGTTAAATAAATATAAGTTGACCTCTAAGATGCCTAGCTTGGGGTTCTGGTGAGGTTTTTGTTTTATTGACGTATTTCTTCAATTTATTTTAAGCATATTCATATATACTTATCATACAAACATATGGATAAACTGTGATTTCAAAGAGATAAATTATTTTATCCACAACTAAATTATAATCCTACTGATGACGGCAGTCAGACTTCATAAACATGGAGGACATTTCAGACAATAAATAATAAAATAAGCAAGATATTACAAAAGGTTGAGCAAATGAAATGAAATTTCATACCGGAATATTATTTGTACATATTACTGACGGAAGTTAATTTATGTTTTGTTAGTACCTTTATTTGTTGGAATTTTAAAATCTGACAATATATTATATCATTCAAAATTATTCAGCCTGAAATACAATAAATATCTATGGTGCAACTGGTGCATGAAGAATGATTGTTAAATTTTAGTTCGTTTCATAAAAGTTATATGGAAATTTGCAATAACCTCAAATACTTTATAATATGATAGCTTTGAATAGGGCGAATCGTGTGCGATTCAAATGGGAGAGGGAAAAGGAGAATTTCGAATGGTGAATGGTGAATGGACTATTGTGTATGGTGAAAGTGGGAAGTTTACACCCTTCAAAGAGTGAAAGTGCTCCTGTGTAAATGATTTTGATCCTAATTGCAATTTAGAATGAAAGAAATTTAAAAAAATAATATCCAACTTGGTACATACAATCAGTACGAAGGGAAGTCACAAAACAAAACTATTTTTTTTTAAAAAGTGTCGGCAATCACTACAGCATTTGTGATGTCTAAGAATGTTGTGTGAATTGTTTTATGAAATACATCACACAAAAAAAAACATTTAACTATACTATTATTGTCCTGATTATTTAACAGAAAAAACAAGTAAAAACATAAAAAAAATTTCAGGCAACCCATTTATCATGAACCCTACAATTAAGAATGTATAAAGTTTCGTTTCAGCTTTGTAATTGATTCGGTTATCGAACTATTTTCTTTGGAGCACCAATGATTAGTCTTATTTGGATGAAAAACGCGTTTTAAATTGTAAGCCCGATTTTTTTGTACTGTCCAGTATTTTTTTTATGATTCCTGTTAACCTTTTGAGGTATTATCTTTAATCAGTTTTTGCAAAACTAAACAAAATTTCTATGCCAACCCGTTTTTAACCATTTTCATACGGTATCCTTTTTAACTTTTTTAAATTTAAAATTTTTAGGAAACAAACTGATCAGACAACTTACTTTATCCGGGAACTACCGACTCCGTGTCAAAGTGGGAAACAAAGATAAAAAAATTAAAATTGCGTTGTACAACGGATTCACTATTGGTAATGCGGAAACTCAGTACAAACTTGAAGTCAGAAATTTTATAGATGGTACAGGAGGTACGTTTGAAATATATTTTAATGAAAGACAAGATAATAAATATGGTGAATGTGATAAACTAAGTTTGTGATTAACTAAATTTATTGATGGAGTTATTGCGTGATGTAGTCCTAATGACATATTTACATAACTTGGCTATGGACAAAGACAAAATTTAGATATAACTACCAATTAAACATGGAACAGTCTTTTTCGGGTATTACAATATAAGAAATCCTCAAATGTATATAAAATATCCGAACAAAAATATTCATAACATAAAAATAAACTAGAAACTAAAAGATACTTTTCGCCTTTGTGACATATGTGAGACCGCGAAAAACAATTGTACATATCATCATTAAGTCATTTATCATGTAAAACCAGCCACTGTCGGTCCACCTGCTTTGCTAGCAGTTGCTGGATATTAAAATTTTAGAAAATGCAGGTAGCAATCAAAGAAATATGGAATACCCCAAAATAATGGATGGAAAAATTAAAAAGACATAAAAAAAATAAATAGCAAAAAACATTATGATTTATCATCAAAATATTTTATAGAAAATAAAAGTAATTTCTGACAATAATTCCGGATACACAAGCTGTACATCTTAATATACAAACAATGCCAATATCTAATTGTGGTGTAATGAACCACGGTGAATGAACTGCATATTCTTTTAAAATGTTTTAGTAGATTCGATTTTGTGTATAGTATATGATAGGACCGGAAGTACTAACAGTTCTGGATGAGTTCAATGGGCTTTTTTTTTTTGGTTTTGTTTTGTTTTGTTTTTTTTTTTGGTACCGTATCTTAACAAATACAAATTCTATTATTATGACTTGACCTGTTACGAGATGTTTAAATTTCTTAAAATAATTAAAGAAGAGGGGGTTTATCATCTTAATTTTTCAATGTAATTTTGTAAAGGTTGGGCATGCAATAAAAGTGCGGCTGTAACAAAAAACTGTTAAACTATAGAACTGTTAAGTTTTCAACTATAAAGACTTAAAAGAATTATTGTAGGCCGCTATGCTTGATCTAAAGACATTTGAAAACAAACAGACCTTTAACACTTATTAATTAAGTCAACACAGAATAAAACTGTTTTTTGTCTTTTATCGACTGATTTTCCATCTTTCTTTTTTTTTTAACGCATATCAATATAAGTTCTCATTCAGCATTATAGATTAAAAAGGATAGGTCAATATAACCGACACCACAAAAAAACAACAACCAACTCCTTCGAGAAAAAGCACGTACAAAGACCAACAGCAAAGAACATCGAACATTAACCTTCTAATAACACTTACTTTTTATACGGTTTCATCCCATATGGCTTGCATAGAATATCTTTATAATAACAAATTTATTCTCCAGGGGACAGTATTTCCAGTGGTGACCATACAAAGTTTGTCAACAATGGAATGAAGTTTAGTACTTACGACAGAGATAATGATAATGATGATACAAGCAACTGCGCAGAAAAATACAAAGGAGCTTGGTGGTTCAATAATTGTTATGTGTCACATTTAAATGGAGAGTACAACCAAAGCTTAAAACATCCATTTGGAATACAGTGGACAACATTCACAGGAACACTAAGTTCCAGTGTCATGGAAATCAGGAGGACTGGATCGAATTAAACAAAAATACACAAATATATGTACTATACTATTTTTAATTAATTATTGAGTGTATATGTGAGCCAAGATTTGTTCCTGTGAAAAAAGTTCCAGTGGAACTTGTATCACAGGAAATATATTCTAGGAGAACTTTTTTCACAGATAATTTCTATATAATTTGTTCCATCTCTATAAAATAAGTTCCACACTTTACCTAGTGAAATAAGTATCGGTTTGGTGAAATTTGTTCCTTACCTAGTGAAATAAGTTCCGGGTTTATGAGATTTGTTCATTACCTGGTGAAATAAGTTCCTTGTCTGTGAAATATGTTCCACTTGTTAAACAAGTTATCTTATATACTGAGCATTTGTCATCAGTGAGTTTAAAGTTATCATTCAAGTGCATTATAAAAATAAGTATTATATTAATAATATAATAGATAAAAAGTGTAAATCATCCAGTTTGGATCCTATGGAGTATAGCAAATGTTTAATTATATACTCTGTAAAAAATATCTAAATGACACTTTTGAACCAGAAAAGATTAGAATAAGAAAAATCATTCAGAAAAAAAGTATAGTTTAAGAGGATCATATGTACTAATTTGAAAAGGACAAAGTGACTTGATCATTTATAAATATCAAAAGACATGTAGAAAAAAAAGACACACTCTTTTGAAACTGTGCCATGTCCTAAGTACATGTATGACTAGAACACGGGGCCATGACAGTTAACAAGAACCAAGGAGGAATACCGCATAAAACATAAATACAAATTATGACACATTACCATCGCTTTTATTTCTTATCTTCATCTTATAGTTACAGTCATGCCTTCAATTGCAAATGTATCCCATGCAATAAAATTGAGAATGGAAATGGGGAATGTGTCAAAGAGACAACAACCCGACCATAGAACAGACAACAGCAGAAGGTCACCAACAGGTCTTCAATGCAGCGAGAAATTCCCGCACCCTGAGGCGTCCTTCAGCTGGCCCCTAAACAAATATATATACTAGTTCAGTGATAATGAACGCCATACTAAACTCCAAATTGTACACAAGAAACTAAAATTAAAAATAATACAAGACTAACAAAGGCTAGAGGCTCCTGACTTGGGACAGGCGCAAAAATGCGGCGGGGTTAAACATGTTTATGAGATCTCAACCCTCCCCCTATACCTCTAGCCAATGTAGAAAAGTAAACGCATAACAATTCGCACATTAAAATTCAGTTCAAGAGAAGTCCGAGTCTGATGTCAGAAGATGTAACCAAAGAAAATAAACAAAATGACAATAATACATAAATAACAACAGACTACTAGCAGTTAACTGACATGCCAGCTCCAGACTTCAATTAAACTGATTGAAAGATTATGTCTTCATCATATGAATATCAGGCACAATCCTTCCCGTTAGGTGTTTAGTATCATACCATCATAACATATATGAGAAGAACATAACCCGTGTCATGCCAACAACTGGTTTTTAAATAAATGTGTTTAGTGCCGATGCAAAGACCCTACAAGTGAATCAATATTAACGCCAAAATATTCAATCTTTAATGAAAGTACACTCAGTACAGCATTTAGCTTGCATTATAATTTAAGTGTAACAAGAAAATGTTTAGGTGTGCAATAATGATTGAGCGGAACTTATTCATTTGTTTCTATGAAATATTTACATGTTCGTTTAAAACTAATGTCACAGGAACTTATTTAAAACTTTTTAATATTAATTGAAACAAAATTCATGGAGCTATGATTTTTGTTCCGGAACTTATTTCACATTTGGCCAAAAAATTAGTCCCGGAACAAATTTTACAGTGCTGGAACATATTTGCTGTGATATAAATTCTGGTGGAACATATTTCCTATGAAATTTGTTCTGGCGGAACAAATGTCACACCGGAACAAATTTTTTGTTACATATACAGGTTTACATAATGTCTATGTTTTAATCGTTAACTGTAATTGTACCGTAGGTCATTGTTTTTTGTTGTTTAATCAAGACGATAGTAAAATACTGATAGTGTAAGAAATATCTGCTTACCCATCCAGAGCACCTGAGATCAACCCCAGTTTTTGGTGGTGTTCGTGTTGCTTTAGTTTTCTATGTTGTGTTTTATGTACTGTTGTTTGTCTGTTTGTCTGTTTGTCTTTTTCTTTTTTAGCCGTCTGTTTGTCTGTTTGTCTTTTTCTTTTTTAACCATGGCGTTGTCAGTTTGTTTTCGACTTATAAGTTTGAATGTCCCTTTGGTATCTCTCGCCTCTATCTCTCATATTCACCACAATACTATGTGAACCTAATGATAGTTAGAAAGATAGCCTTTCTTACCATTTCATTGTATCTTAATTTGATGGTTTTAATCCTTAAAAAAACCTTTTAATTATCCTTTTATGTTTTTCAAAATTTGACAGCTTCCTCAAACCTGATTGACTAACATCAGGGCTTTACAATTAAAAATCACATTTAGGTAATCTAGAAGTGAACTTAAACTGTACTCGTCATATTATGAAAATCCGCGGCATACGACTGCGAGATAGAATTGATTAAGTATGTCTATTTTTAGTCAGGATATAAATTAGATGGATTGTTTTCACTGCATTTAGTAGCTTTCTGTCTAAACCCTCCTTTCTTACTATGGGACTTCAACCATGAGCAGTTGGATGGTTTAGGGTTATCCTTCTAGAGAACCAAATTTTAACTTGTCCTTAATCTTATTGGGGTGCATGTTTGACACTTTTTATCTTATAAGTTTCTAAAGAAATTGTGTCCAGACATTATAATGGTATGTCTGTCCATAGTAAATTATCCTTCATTTTATTGCACCTACCGCAATAGCCTGCATGGCTATGTAGTGGTTTCCATGTCCGTCTACCTGTTTTTTTCATTTCCTTAGCTTGAAAATTTTTACCCGTTAACAAATTTTAGTAACCCCATTTCCCTTTTTATCACATGTTACAGTCTTGGGCGAGACAAATAATGTTTTGAATTACGATTTTTTTTTTTTGTTAAGTTGCGATACGCTGTGAATTGACAGTCCGGCATGTTCAGCGTTAAAGTTTTAAGTTTTAATGTATAGAGTAGTAAATTTGTGAAAATGTAAACCTACCCAAAAAAGTATTTTTTTTGTGTAGCGACATATTGTGAGACTTACGAGTATATAGTAAGTAAATTCATTACTATTATATTTGTGCGTGTGCAACTGTTGTTGTGAACGTTTTGTATATATTTGATTTTAATTTGGATTCATTTCTGTTGCATATTATTTCGTTCACATTTTACAGACACAGCTTTCTGAGTGTGGCCTAACGCTTGAAGAAGGAAAAATCTTAATCTGATGGTAATAACGGCGAGTACATCTTGAAATCATTTTTCTTTCCGAATTATACCACAACCACCTCAAAAAGAAAAAAAGTACATAGGGAGGATTATAAACAACAGTCTGCATGCTTCAACTATATTGATTGATTTCATCTGATATTTGTTTTTGATTCGATTTCATTTTCGTTAAAACCCGTAAAAAAAACCTTGATTTTGAATGAAGAAAGGGATTGTCAAACTGAAAAAAAAAAATTCTTTAGGGTTTGACTGCTATTGAGCCTAAATATCATGAACACGGTAAAAACTGAAACTCCCTGTTGTATTTCGATTTTGCTGGCATTTCAACACTGTCATGCAGCATGTGTTTTATAGACGAGACACATACTAACAATCGGCTTTTTTGAATTAGAGAGGTGATCTAGTGATCACAGTTCCCCCCGCACAACTGAGTGAAAATGATTTTGCTTCAGTAACAGCAGTG